GCTGACAATTACAACACGATTACGTTTGAATATTAAATTTTAATTTCCATACTTTTTGACACCAATGTCGTAATATTATATTTAAATTTGTTAAACTTTATTGTTTGTTTGATCTATGCGTGTCAAGTTGTTATAATCTTATTCAGAGTGGGTTGCAGTAAGGGTATAAAAGTCAGCTCCGCCACGCTATACAGGGTGTTCCAAAAAAAGTACCCTGGGCTCTATAGAAATTATCCTATTGTTATAATTTGAATGCCTGAGCACTATGCTGTACACAAGAGTGCGTAAACACAAAATCCTGTGCTTAACAACAATAGGATAAATTTCTATACGTAGAGGGTACTTTTTTGGACACCCTGTATAGCTAGGCCCCAGAGGATAGGTTCGATTAATTAAGCCAACGATTAAGCCCGTTTTCCACTGGGCGAATTTGTTCGCCCGAAGCTAGCCTGCGTTCAGGCTCTCTGGGTTTGGGGGGAGGCGATAACCCCCAAACCCACCCAGAGAGCCTGTCACGCAGGCTAGCCCGAAGCGATTTTTTCCTTTATCGGCATAGCTTATCACGTCAGCAATAGCGATGCCGACAAAGCAAAAAGTCGCTTCGCGCAAACAAATTCGCCCAGCGCCAGTGGAAAGCAGCCGGCTTGGGGGAAGTGAGTTTATTACAGACCGGACTTGAAGGCACGTTGGTATCGAGCCTAGCTAACTTAGCTGGGCTAGCTACACTCAACTATATATTAACTGTAGTCATCAAGTTATGAAGGGATTTGTAGATGGAAATTCCGAGTGGAGAACAGTTTTAAGCCCCGTTTACACTACGTTCAATTTTTGGTACGGCACGGATAAAATTGGTACTCGTACCACTTTTTTGGTTCTTGAACTACCTATTTAGGTAGTCCAAGAACCAAGAAGTGGTACGGTACCAAAAATTGAGCGTAGTGTAAACGGGGCTTAGCTAAATAGCTGGTCCAAGAACAAAAAAAGTGGTACGGGTACCAATTTTGTCCGTGCCGAACAAAAAATTGAGCGTAGACAGTGTAAACGGGGCTTTATACATTCATTTTTCGCAACTGTTGCTTGCTTTAAAATAGGTCCAATAAATTAGTCAGAAAAATTCCCCTCGAAATTTACATCTTTCAAACTGATTATAGTTATATCGAGTACGTGAGATGCCCAAAATCCTGAGTATTTTATAGTCACAAGTTAGCTGCCCAGTGCCCACAATCTAGAAAGTCAATTTTTTACAGTGCACTAAATCTGTGCAGTAATAAAATACTTTGTTATATACTGTAGTAGAATGTGAGGCCCGTTTCATACGCCGTACTTCACATGTGCCGAATGCATTAAAGACAATAGATATTGAGCTGAAATGCCTCATTACCTATTGTTTTTAATGTATTCGGCACATGTGAAATACGGCGTATGAAACGGGCCTCAGATACTGAAAAATACACATGCCTGAGTGAGATATTTTGCATATCTTCCAATTTGCTTTTGAGCGTGAAATTTCACAATTTTTTGCTTGGGACTATAGAATAACGGAACATTACACGGTGGCTTGATGATTTGGGACCGCGGTTGTACGAAGATCGGATAGCGCTATCCACCGGCACCGGATAGTGATTTTTTCAACACAGTTTACTGAAATGCTTGAAAAACTGTGAAACTACGGATACAGACGTATAAAAAAACATTTAACTTATAGATAGTAAATTTTAATACGAGTTATACCAATCAACGAGTGATTTAACAAAGCTCACTATCTGGTGGACAGCGCTATCCGGCCTTCGCACACTACTAGACTTGCTCCAAGTCTCCCTTTCATTGTCATACATGAGTATCGCCAGTCTATCGTACAATCGGCCCATGACTTTTATCTTCTCGTGTTAAAAACAATATAATTTTACTGGTAAAATATTGTTTCCACCACTCGAAGATAAAAGTCATATATTACCTCAAAATTCGCTTACCTGATGATTCTTTTGTCTTTACAGATGAAACAGACGGTTGC